AAAAATCCAATAAATAATTATTATATAGCACTATCCATTCTTGGGTAATTTCTATAAATAATTCTTAAGTAATATTTTCTAAATTTTACTTATTTCAAGAGACTTATTTCAGTGATAATTATTTTGGCCCTGAAAAATGCCATTCCAAAGCACCCATTTTCAAATTTCAAATGTGCTTATGTATATTTGGTAGTTCATTAACTTTAAAATACTGTTTATTTCTTGCTATAAAAATAAAAAGTATTTATTGTATACAAGTAAAAGTAGTCCTGGTGTGACATGGTAGGATAAATGCTGGACTGCTAACCTCAAGGTTGGCAGTTCAAACCTACCAGGTGCTCCTCAGAAATCTATATGGGTCACCATGGGTCAGAACCAACTCAACAGCACTTAACAGCAGCAACATAAAAGTTAAATTAAAAAAAGAAAAAACTGACACAATCCTTTTTACTTAGATTTTTTTCAATTAAGCTGAGAACCACAAGATCAATGGCTTAAGGCCAGCACCCACCCCACAGGAGAAGATGAGGCTTTCTGCTACTGCAAAGATTATAGCCTTGGACACCCTATACAGGGTCGCTATGAGCTGGAACTGACTCCACAGCACTTAACAACTACAAACAAACGTATGAAAAGGGCTAATGTAGACAGATATTCATTATCTAGCTTGCTGGGTTTGCATCTGGGACTTTCTGTATATAAAACAATGCATCATTTCAGTACCAAATCCCAGCAAATTTTTTTGAAGACATGATAGGCAGAAACTGAACTCAACACATGCTGTACCAGCAATGAACACAGTTCAACTGACGCAAAGACAACATGAACAACTATGACCAAGCTGACACGCATGCACAGAGGACAACTGTGCCATGACAGCCACCTGACTGACAGCGATAGTAAGGCAGTACCGACTGTATAAAACATTCTCATTTCAGAGACATCCAAATGTGAAAAATGAGCATCTTAGAATCAATAAAATATCCACGATTTTTTATACAGCTTTATGGCCTACTCAATCAATTCATATTTATTCATATCACTGTAATTTGTCACTTTCACAGTCAAAAAATTATAATCAAATAGAATTCAAAAGTAAGAAAATGAATATATCGATCACCTAGAGTTGTTAGAAAAGGAAAAATTAAAAGGATCAAATTGTTTTTGTTACTGGCATATGAAAAACCAGCATTTCTTACCTGAATAATGATAAGGAGACAGATTCCAGCACCCATTTCAGCAGGATCTCCATACATGCCCGTCATGACATACACGATGGCTTGCCCAATGGTAATAATCATACCAAATACTGAGAAAATAGGGGAGGGAGGGAAGGAGTACCTGATTACAACCAAAGACACAAAGGACTAGAGAAAATCATCTTTATCCTTGAGCAATATCTGTGTTAAGCTATGTTATTGTGCTATCGAATTAGTTTCAACTCATAGCAACCATGTATAAGGTTTCCAATACTGTAAATCTTAGAGAAGAAAGCATCATCTTTATTCTGCACAGTGACTATGGATTTGAACTGTTGACCTTGTAGTGTGCAGCCCAACACTCAATCCACTACATCACCAGGGCTCTAGTATCTATCTGTTGTTGTTAAGAGCCATTGAGTCAGTTTCAATTGGTAGCAACTGTGTACAGGGTTTACAAGGAGTGGCTGGTAGGTTTCAACTGCCAACTTTGTGGTTAGTGGTCCAGTAATTACTCCAAATTGACAACAGCAATTCAAAAGATTAGACAGGAAACTTAGGGGCCAGTGAATTTTTGTTAGTGCTAGAGGAAAAGCTCCAAAAAGGAAGATGAGAATGGTTGCCTAGCTCAACGAATATAAGCAGTGTCAGTGAATGATACACATGGTGGTGGTGGTGGTGAAGTCATCAAGAGGACTCTGACTCACAGCAACCCTGGAGAGGATTTCCCAGAGTGTCAATCTTTATGGGAAAGGGCTGTTGTGCACAATTTAATGCTCACATTTCTGGGCTCCATTGAATAGAGCTCTGTCTTTGGGGGTATCTCCAACTTCAATGATTTTGGCTCCAGCTAGCAACTGCATAATCAAACCAGAGGTTACAATCGGGGAGATACCCAATTCCATTAAAGTTCCTAGAAAGAAACAGGAAAGAAGTAAGAATAAAGAAGCTTTACTATACATGATAATCTTTACTACATACAATTACTGTTATACATAATAATTTTAGAAACATCTTTTTAGCCTGAATTCTATTGTAGTATACGCTCAAATTTTAACAAGCAAATTTTCATTCCTTTCCAACAGTGATAAATAACAAGTATAAATACTATAAAAATGTAAATTTCTATAAATCTTGAACTTAAAATATTAAAGAAAACCACTGAAAGAAATCAAGATTTCTGACCAAATGGTAATTCTTAAAAATTACACTAAACTGTTTTAATGCAACATGAAAATTTACATACTAATCACAAAATTAACATACCAAGTCAATTTTTAAACTGAAAAATATTTGTAATACAAAACTTAAACATTACATAAGTCATCTAAAACAATATATTTAATGACATGAAAAATGTCCATGGTGATGGATAGCAAAAAAATTTGAAAGCAGTATGTATAATTTCATTTTATTCTCATTTTATATCAAGGTGGAAATAGTCTTCATTATTTTCTCTGGTTGGCAAAATGTTAATTATTAATTTTTACCCAATAAGATAGTGAGTGAGTGATTTCCATTTTCTTCTTTTGCTTCTCTTTAAATTTTTTCTTTACAGAAAATATACACTATATTTACAATGAACAACGTTGTTGTTAAGTACTGTTGAGTTGGTTCCAATCCATAGTGACCCTATATAGGGGTTTCAAGGAGCGGCTGGCAAGCTTGAACCACCAACCTTGGTTCAAACTGATGTTGCAGTCCAGAGCCAGTAATCCTCAGCACCATAGCAAGAAACCTAAATTTGCTGAACATATAAAGTAACGTGTAGAACTAAATAATTCTTCACGGTCAAGACTGCAATTTTCTTTGTACATCCTGTCACAGTACACCCTAAAATGCTGCCTTTTATAAATACTAAAGCTGTTGTTGTTGTTAGGTGCCATCGAGTCGGTACTGACTCATAGCAACCTTATGCACAGCAGAACGGAACACTGCCAATCCTGGGACAACCTAACTATTGTTGAAACGCTTGAGTCCATTAAAGAGGAGAGGGGTCCTTAATATGAGAAAATATTGCACTAAGTGGACCCTTGATGTTGTCACAGATATGCAATACTATTACTTACTTTAATACTAACAAATGAAATAATTTCCTACACAATTGGTAGAAAGACAGACTTCTCAAATATTCAAATCATCAAAATTTGTAACCATCAAATATGAGGGGGTTTCAAAAGTTCATAGAAAAATTCCATTATCTTTTTATTCCATTTTCCCCAGAAACTATAGATACAGTATGGAAACTGATCCAACCAAGCTTTAATGAAAATTTGACAGCACTTCAAATCAGTAGATTAAAAAAAGGATAAATGGACTTTGGCAAATGACTGGCCATTTATTTATAACAAAATAAACTTAGATTTCTTACCTCATAACCTTGTATCTCATAAATTCAAGATATATAAAAAAATTAAATATAAAAGATTAACTAATAGAAGTACTAGAAGCAAACATGGTGACTCTTGATTATATTCTTGTGTGTGTGTGCATGTGAGAGTGGAGGGGAGAGTCAGCCTTTCTAACTATGACAGAAACCTAGAAAACACAAAGAAAAAGAGGGAAGATAGGAATAGATGCCACTTCCCTAAGGAGCTCTGATAGTGTGGTGATTACAAATCAGGCTGCTGAACTCAAGGACAGCAGTTTCAAACTATTCAAGCTGTTCCATGGGAGAAAGATGAGGCTTTCTGCTCTCGTAAGGATTTATAACCTTGGAAATCCTATACAAGGTCACTATGAGTCGGAACCAACTCCACAGCACATAACCACCACCACCACCACCACGCAACCTCCCTATGTCAAAGGACAGCATAAATTATTAAAAGAAAAATACTCAAACTTCAATGACAGTGATGCTGCTCAACCTTAGAACAGGGCTCTGTAATACAGGGATAGAGGCATACCCTGAAGAGGGAAATAGTACTAATATGCTTGACTGTCTTATGAATATTGGTTTCCCTTGCCTACTATTGTAAAATAGACACTTGTATGGGATAGGAAAGGAGCTCTGGTAGCATAGTGGTTACGAATCGGGCTGCGAACCTTAAGATCAGCGGTTCGAAACTACCAGCTGCTCCGCGGGAGAAAGATCAGGCTTTCTACTCCTGTAAAGATTTACACCCTCGGAAACCCTGTACAGGGTCGCTATGGGTCGAAATCGACTCAACGGCACTTAACAACAACAATGGGATAGGAAGGAATGTTGGGAAATGTGATTACAGAAATATTACAAACCCGTCATCAGCCTATAACTGACTGGAATACCTAAAAGGGATTCTAGAACTTGCCCAGTGCAATAGGCCTCTTGCGGAGCCTTTGCAATGTATAGGACCTTAGATGGAATCCTGAATACCATCCAGAACCTAATGAGGTGAGCCACTCCCACCAGAAAAGAAAAGCAGACCAGCGAAACAGCTAGCGCAACAGAAGATACATCTTCAAAGAAAGACCATCAGGAAAAACTCAAAACAAGAATGGCAGTATGACTGGCTACTATAAGAATAAGCAAGTGGTTTGCTGGAAGCCATCAAGGCAAGCAATCACATTCCTTCCTCACAAACTCCCCTCTAAGACTGAAACTCAAAGGGAACACACAAACAGGGATGTAAGCTTGCTGGCGACCAGATTGGTCTACTGGTGAGTGGAAGAGGGGGGAAAGGCAGCAATGAAGAAATGGGCTGAGTTCAATCACGTTCCAAAGACTTGCGTTGAGCTGGAGATGAGCAAGAGAACAGGAAGGGCTGATTGGCCCAAAGTGTGGTGAGAACTAGAAACACTTGAGCCCATGGGCAAGGATATAGCCACAGAGGGCTAGAGCTGAGAGTGAAGCATCCCAGCTGATATGAGCTGAGGTGAGATGCACAAGAACACCCAAAGTACCCATTTGACCTAGCCTTGATGGATTGATAATCAGAACTCGACTACAGGAAGATATTAAAAAAAAATTTTTTTTCATAAAGACAACTCGGGTAAATTGCCACAATTTGATGAACTTGACCTATACTTTAAATATCAACAGAGAGGGAAGGAGTCATTATATCAAGGATCAATGATATTCCCTTTGTATATATGGTAGATTGGGATGAGCAACTTAGACACTGGCTACCTAAAATGAGGTGGTGATAAATGCTCAAAGTGACTGGCTTACAAACTTTCAATAGGGAGTTTAGTTTAAGAGTGTAGTCGGGGTGGGGGCTTGATGGCCACTAGGATGCAGGTGTAGTGAAGTTCACAGTCAGTCAGTGAGCCATACCACAGAATTACAGGCAAAGCAGATCCAGGGCAGAGCTCCAAAACTCAGAACCACACAGCTAGGAGTATTTTAAAAGCTTGAAGGCTTATAGCTAGTGGAATTAGAAGCTGAAGTAAGAAATCACGTACTTTTGAATTTGCCAGGCTCTGAAACCCGGAGCCGACATCTTGAGCGAGACCAAAAGGCAAGACCAAGCAGGGGAGCAGAAACACCACGGAAAAACACCGTGGGAACCTTGGAGCAAAGGTGGACAATACACTTTGTTGGATTTGCTTTGTTCTGATTTTCTTTTTTTTTTTTTTTTCTTTCTTTCTTTTTTTTTTGTTATCTGGTCTTTGGCCCCCCACTGTTTGTGCACCTCCATTCTGGTGACTAGAGGTGGACCATGAGCGAGTGGATACCCCCCACCATCACCACTGGTGGGTTCTTCTGCCATGCATGCGCACAGATATTCAGCCCAAGAGCAGGCCTGAATTTTTTTTTTTTTAAATACAGGAAAGGAGAGGACAGGGCTGCAGAGAGGGAAAAAGAAACAGGCCAAAAACTAAATTAAAGCCTGAGGTATAGCCTAACAACCAACAGTGGTATCTTAAAATCTCTCAGGCAGTTCTGAAGGCAAGAAACTGAAGAGAGGACATTAAAATCATATTGGGCTATAGATTATTTTTTCCCTTCCCTCCTGTCCCTTTCTGTGATTATAGGCTGCAGTATTCAGTCTAGTTTTGCTTTCTTGTTGTATTTTGGGGTTATTTTGTGTTTTGTTTTCTTTCTTTGTTTGTTTTTTACTGGTGCTGTTTTGCTATTTTATGCTACCCCTTCTACCTTTGGGGGACTCTTTCTCTCCCTATATTACCCAAAAAGAGTCAGCAACTGCTGCCATACAGTCAACCAAAGTCACATGCTATTAAAACATCAAAACCCAGGCAAGAACAAATACCAACTGCCATATACCAGCGAGGCAGACAACACCTGTGAAAGTTACTCTGAGTTAAGCAATAAGAAGAGTGAAAGGGAAGCCCACATCCTGATCACAACTACCTGGAAGTAATCAGAGAGCATAAAAAATACCAAAACACATTATCAATTAAGTATTAAGGCCACAGATAAATACTAAATATGTCCAAAAGCAGATAACAATATCAGCGCATGTCCAGAAACAAGATAAAATGTCTGAAACAAATGACGTAAAGGTAGACCTGGACTCCATTCTGGAAGGAGGGCAGGCCTTGGATATGCCTGAGAAGGAATTCAGAACACTGATTACAAAATGTTTCAAAACACTTTACAATGGAGTTGAGAAAAATAAGGAAGAAGTCAGGAAAGCGCTACAGGAGCAATCAAATAAGATAGACGCAGCATAGGAAATAATTCAAAACCTGCAGAAAGAGGGCCAAACAATCATTAAAAGAATACCAGAAATACACAAAACTCTGAAAGGACAAAGGAGGAGAATAGAAGAAATGGAAGGCAGAACCAGTGAGCTGGATGACAAATGTCACAATACCACTAAGATATAAGAGAAACAGGAAAAAGGATAAAAAAAATCTGAAGAAGGTCTAAGATACATGTTGGACAACATGAAGAGGAATAACTTAAGAATTATCGGCATTCTAAGAACAAGAAGAAACACACAAGTCCACAGAGGAAAAGTTGAAGAA